CTAGGGGGAGCAGTTTTTTTGAATGCCAATGCACCTGGGTTCTGAGGGGTTAACTCTTGCTAGGCTATTAAGTCTCAGGAGACCCTGGGGAAGAAGGGGAAGTTTCTTTCCCTTGCTAGATGCAAGATGCAAAGAGAAGGCAAGCTGCTTTTACAAGGTAATAGTAGCTGAAGGGTGCTTTTGAAAGCAAGAACAATGGGCTCAGCAGTGCTCAGAAAATCCTGCCATTGTGAGCACAGCGTGTCTGCTTTTGCACCCTGAAATGTCCTCCAGATGTAGCACTTTTGTTGGGCAAGGACGAGATAGCCCAGAAAGAAAATGGGACAGATTGGCACATCCCTGGTACCAATCCCATCTTCTTTTTGCATGTTTTCCTTCAGGCAAAGCCTGATGGCAGCTCAGAGGACTCTCGCTCCTGCCCCAAGCGGTCCAACCAACACTTTGGAAGGAAGTCTTCCCTTCCTGGAGAAACCACTGAATATTGCTGTCACACCACTGGACTAAACTAGGTAACTTGGATCTCTGGAATGTAAGTGACTGCATTTTATCCAATGCACAGCACTGCTGTGAGACCAGCAGCCTGGTCTCCACTGTACATTACAAAAGCAGGGGATTTGATGTGTGCATAGAGATGTGCCAAAGAGGGACTGAGAGAGAAACCATTCTCTTCTGTGACTGATAACGTGGGGAGCCCCACAGCACCTAAAAGCCTTCTCTGACACTTCCACTCCTGTTTTCATGCGCAACTGCTTTGGCTGCAGCCCATCCGCTTTCTCATAAGCTGTACGCATGGGATGTTTTGCCCATTTAGGCAAAAGATCTGGAAAACTGTTTTAGTGCTTGGGACATCTGATTGGAATATTGGCTGTATCTCTCATGGGCTTAGTATTTGCTAATAAAGCATTGCTGATGCCGCATCTGTAGCTTCCCAGCTCATGGGGAACTGATGCTCCCACCCCTCCACTGGCTACATTCCAGCTGTCCCAATCATGTTCCAATTGTGCCATGACATGCCAATGGAGCAAAGCTTCTCTGTGCCTTCTCTAGGTGCATCCAGCATCCCTTTTCCTGAGAGCAATAAATGTTCCAGGGCCGCCAGGAGAGCAAAGTTCCTAATGACTGTAAAGCAGGGGTGTCCAAGTCTCTTCTCCTTTTGTCTGCCCCCTCCCCACATTCAGTTAGGGGCAAGCTCTGGGAGGGGGAAACCACACACTGGAAGGAGCCAAGGGCAAACAGGGGAATGACTAAAATATCCCAAACATCAGCACAGTTTCTCTAAAAGTCCCATTTCTACTCACTAAGCCTTCCAGTCTTTCAGAATGTGAAATAACGACAAAATCTGGAGAACCACCCACATCAGTTGTGGGGAAGGCAGCTGGAGGACAGGGCATTGCCCTCTGAGAAAGTGAATGGGGCAAGTTAAGTGTCCAGGAGGGCTGCATTCAGCCCATGAGCTGAGGTGCAACTGCCCACCTCCACGGGGAGCACAGGTGGCCTTACTTGACTTCAGTGGCTTGTGATCCTGGTGTGCTTTGCCCCATGCAGTGGCAGCTTGTGGTATCCCAAACCTTTGCAGAACCTTTTCTCACCCTGTTCTGTGCATGCCCAGGAAGTGCAGTTCCTTTATGAACAGAGACATCATGCAACCATTGATTGTAACGAAGCACATGAAATCCTTGGAAAGTGTGCAGAGTGACCTGAAGTTTTTTTCTCTCTCTCTCTCTTTCTCTTTTTGCCTGTTTGCCTCTAAATGATTGTGAGATAGTTTTAGCACTGCAAGCTCACAGAGAAAATACTTCTAGCCACCACATGCCAATGACACACCTTTGTGGAAATGGAATGAGAATTGCTGAGTTGCACTCCAGACAACTGGATTATCCCAAGTAGGAAACAAAAGAAAACAAGACCTAACTCTGGTCGTAGATCAGGCACAAACAGAAGTGGAGTGGTAAGGCTGATCTGGAAGTCAGGGGGAAAAAATGTTAACTTGCTTACCTTTCGGACACAGCATGCCTCAGCCAGCTCATGCAAACTGATTTTATTCACCAAACGTGAGTGTTTCTTCATTACCAGAATAATAAGCACATTGAGAAGGCAACTATGCATGCAGAGCAGTTCAACATTCAAGTAGGTAGAGATATTCCATTAAGAAACTGAATCCATGGACAGCACTTCAAACATCGACCAAAAAAGCACTGCTCCACCTTCACATGCCCTTCGTTTTTCCACCCAGGGGAACCAGGACCAGAAAATTAAGCAACACTGCTGCCCTGGCACATTCTTTCCAGTTGAGCCTCCAGAGCTTCCCCACAATGAGGGAACTCTTGGCCCCAGGCAACCAGTGAAGCCTGGGCACTGGGAGGAATGTCTGACATCCCTTGCCACCCGACCCTGTATTTTATTCCCTTTACCAAAATTCCTGTATTTTCCTTGGGTCTTCCAAATTTACATTTTAAATCCTTACTCTTACACAGCTGAATGTTCTGTGCAAACAGGCTCAGCTGGACGGGTTTCTGTCATATCAGGCATAACCCAGCACAATGCTGCAGCCCCGAGACAGCGTTGAAATGGCCACAAGAGCTTGGGATTCCCAGCTAGAAGGTTGCCCAGTAGCTCCAACCTCATAACCGGAGATTCATGCTCCTCCCCTTGGAGGCAGCACAGAAAAAACCATGCCAGCTGCCTCTGTGAAGTCATAATAGTGACCTCATTGAATTTTTTTTTGGGGGGGTGGGCATTCTGGGAAGTGGGAAGGGGTGGTGGTTGGCATGGCTGAGGTGTGAGACACCCTGGCAGCATGGCTGCCTCTTCCCTGCCACTCTGGAGTGACAACCTGGGTGAAATCAGCTGACAAAGGCTGTGCAATACAGGAGAGGCAGGGGGAAAACTTTCACCCCCATGTCCCTCACACCCTCCATAGGATGCCTGTGATCCTCCCTGTTCCCTGTTCAAGGTGTGCAGGCATCACCACAGGGCTGCATCCTTTACACCTGTATGTACCCCTGAGTGCAGTGTGAGAGACTGAAGGATTTGCTACCTGCCGTATTGAAATCAGGGTGCTGTACAGTGAAATCCCAAGCATGGTACATCCCAGTTAAGACCCACTGGGTTCAGCAGGGCACATCCCCTGGTAGCTCTGCCTAAATCCCCTACTTCCTTGAATGGGAGTGTGCACTCTTAAGCTCAGTGGAATTTACTTCTGAATAGAAATTCACAATATTGTGTTGCTGTGATACTGATCTATGCACATTCACTGCAAAACATGCTCCAGATCAATGACAGCTTGTGAACACTTAAGTGTACAAAGAACTGTAGCTTCACAGTGCAATTCCGTACATGTCTATTCAGAAGCAAGTCTTACTGAGTTCAGAGCTGAGCCGTTTTCTCTTTACCTATTGTCAATTTTGTTGATGATAATAATTATTCCTTTGCACAAATGGCTTCTCAAAATTCTCTACCTTATTTGTGTTAAGAGACACTGGAACATTTCACTGAATCTCCCCGGGAAGCAAATAAGAAGCATTCCGTTCTTCTTCAAGGAATCTGGTTGGCGGAAATATCCATGAGTGTTGACCCAAAATTTTCTCCCACATTGTTTTGACCATTCTTACTTGGATTGAAAAAAATGCTTTTGGAAAGAAAATGAATAACAAAGAAATTCCACAACAATGCTCATGGGCTGAGTTTGGATTTCTTGAACTCACTTTATGTAGGAGATGGACAAGGAGTGTGCACAAATGTCCAGTCTTTTATTATCCCATCATCTCTCTGGCAACCTGCAGCCTCCTCATCTTCCTACAGTTCAGTTAAAGTGCAGCAAAAGTATCCCAAGATAATTCCTCCCAGCTGGCCCTTTTCAAATCAGTAAGTATAGGCAACCTGGGCAGTTGGCAGTGACTAGGCAAGCACAGAAACACCACAAAAATAAATTATAAGGCACCCAATGAGTGAGGCAAAAGAAGATGGGAGGAAGCCTTTCGGGGAATTGGACAACAGATTCTGCTTCACCAGTAGCATCTTTCCTATCCTGGAGCTTGACATGTTGTCCCCTCTGACTTTCAGTGGCCGTGCAACATCTCCAAAACACTTTTGAAAAAGGAAGGCAGGAAGGAAGGACAGAAAGAAAGATGGACAGACGGATGAACAAAAGAAAGGAGCTGTGCTACAACCCTTGCCAACAGTGAGTCCTACTGCACATCAGTTGGAGGTTCTCCTTCCCCTGGAGAAATTCAGTGAAGCAATCCCTCTGCATTATGCTGCTCATAAACAGGAGAATTTTGAGAGGTTATTTGTGCACAGCTATAGTTTTAATAATGCCTGAGAGGCTTCTCAGGGACAAAGTGGTTTGGAGCAAGAAGTGAATGTCTTTTCCTGCTGGGGAGTCCTTGTACGTTCTTCTACGACAGCCCAGTTCTACGTTGATCTGAGTGCCACTGTTTCCATTGGCAGCCATTTTCCTTTAGTAATAAAGATTTGTAGTACTGAGCAGCCTTCACCAACATGGTACATTCCAGACACCTTGGACTACAGCTGCCAGAATTCCTGACTATTGGTCATGCTGGCCAGGGTTGATGGGAGATGAAGTCCAAAACCTCTGGCGGGGTGGGGGTACCAAGTTGAGGAAGACTTCTGCAGTCACAGACAAACCCTTGCTATTATGAATTAAGAGAGGGCTGCCACTGATACGAGGGGCAGAATGATATCCTTTGCCAGCCTTCTCTAACCAACCTTCTCCAGATCTGTTGCACTACCACTCCCAGAACCTCATTTGGTTGCAGTTTATGAAATCTGTAGACCAAAACATCTGAAGGTACCAGGTTGGAGATAGTTATGTGTAGGTGGGCAACTCATTTTTCTATTGATGGCTCTTCATGGATTGCAACTATGCAGCCTTCCAAACTCTAGGTGTGCACACAACAGAAGAGCCTGGTGACATTAGACCAAGGTGAGTTTCAAGATCTTCCAGTGAAGTATGTTTTCCGCAGTAAATTGCATCTTACCTGTCACTGTAGGCAGCCGCGGTGGCTGTGGTGGGCTGCGCATACCTGTAGGCAGCATAACCACCCTGAAATGCAAACACATTCTAATCAGAGTCAAAGCACATTTCAGAAATGAACAAACACCCCACATCATTACCAACAATTAGTTGCTTTATGATTTTCATGTTCTGCTACAAAGATTTGCAAACAGTGTCACAGTTAACGACAGCATCTAAAACAGGATTGTACATTAGCTGAATGAGCTGATAGGCATAAATAACTGCTCACACAATATCAGAGGCTGGAGTCATGCAAAAGTAATTCACAGAACCATTTGGTGCATGTCCACTCAGATGCAAGTCCCACTGAGTTCACCAGGCAAGCACACAGAGGACCGCAGCCCTGAATATTGTACAGAATCCACTGCCAAAAAATGCAATGATGGCCACTGAAGGGGGCGGGATGAGAGGAAGCCAAGCGAAAAGGAACATTTGGGTACACCAGTCCTGCAGTGCACCTTTGAGGATCAGATGCCAGGTATGAACCAAAGGGGACCTGCATCACTCCTTGGCACTGATTTTAAGCTGATGGTGAGAAGTCTGCACAGTTTGCCCATCACTTCTTGGGCTCACTTAAAGGTGTTGATTTTTATCTTTAAATTTCTAAAAAGGCCAGGGCTTAGCTATGCCCCCATCATTGGATGCACCTCTTCAAGAATTAAGAACTGCAGGAGAGCCTGTTTCTTGGGCACCCATGGAAAGGCCTTGTCTTGTATGCTCCCCACCTGAGAGTGCTTTCTCTCAAGAACTACAGTTGGACCCCCGAGTTTGGGTCATTTGTTTTAGCTTGTGTGAAGTGAAGGCTGAGGAAAACATCGCAGAGGCTCAGAAAAGTATGGATTTCTGACTGCAAATTGCATTTGCGTACATGTCTAGAGCGTGCTTTTTCACACATCCCTACTGTAACTGGAGAGACCCCAGTGCTAAGAGCTGCAGTTTTAAAAATTGCGAGGCATGGTGTTTAATACCATAGTCCTGATTCACGTGTAAATATCTCCGTGTGCGCAGCTGAAATATGACCAAGTGCCCTGCCTGTTTACACACTTGCTTTCCTCCACCCTTCCTGATATGGGATGACGTGCCAGTTTCCAATTGCACATAGTTAACCATATAAAAAAAGAGCGGATCATAAACCATGGTTTGAAGCTGGGTTAACAAACCGCCTTCTTCTGAACCTGTTAAATGTAGTATCCTGTTTCGGATGCAGTGGGAAACTATATTTAATTAAAGGTGTCCTGGATTACCATAGAGTGCCAAAAAGTGAGAAGTGATAGGGTGGCACAGAAACAGATTTTGATGTCACAAAGCCGGCACGCTTCCCAGTGTATTAATCCAGATAAATATCTTTGAAGAGGGCCATAGTGGTATTTAGAAGTATAGTTGCAATGTATCTCACCCAAGCATCCTCTTTACCCTTATCCAGGATTACTCTTACAACCCTGAAGATGCCTTTGACATGTTTCTTTCTGTCAGCTATGATGGGGAAACAGGGATCTGAACACATTCCCCAGCTCCAAGCTCAAAGTTCTTTTCTGAGCTCAGGATGGGGAGTCTGGATGATCTTTTTGGTACTGGCTAGGGGGTCACAGACTGTTCCTGCTTTGTCTCCTTAGCTTGACCGCACACATCGTTCGACTTGTAAAGCTCCCTTATCTGTCAACTCCTTCATCAGCACACCCTTCTACCCAACATGAAGCTCCTTCCTGGATTTCTGGTTTCCTTTGCGCCGCCACTTTGAGTGCCCCAAACCCACCACCCGTTGTTCTGTTCCCTCAGCCATTTTTTCTCTATAATGCTGCTGCTCGTTCAGTCAGAACCTGACTGGCCTGCACTAACTCCAGCCTGGTCAAACATTTTTCTCCTTCCTACCCATGTAGACTCATTGCTTTGCGGGAATCCATTTGTGAAATCCATTTATCCCTCTGTCGCTTCGCTGTTGAGCCACACACCTTTCATTGGTCCACCTAACTCAGTATGGCATGAGAAGGTTGGGAGCGGTTCTCCACAGGATTTCGAAGCAGGCTTTCCCAGCCATACCTGGAGTTGTGAGGAACCAAACCTGTTAGTTTGCTCCACCACTTATTTGAAACCTCTTTGTATCTGGACTTCTAGGCCTCAGGGCACAGAAGTGCCCACATGATATAATCAAGTTCTACATGGGCTGCCCTTGAAGACGGTTTGGATAATTCAATTGGATCAGCATAGAGTTGCCAGGTTGTTAACAGGGACCAGCAGGTATGAACACATAACGCTGGTCCTTAACCACCTACACTGGCTACCAGTTGAAGTCTGGGCCCAATTTAAGGTACTGGTGATGACCTAAAAAGCACAAATTGGCTTAGGGCCTGGTTACCTGAGGGAGCATCTCCTTCCATATATACAGCAGAGGCAGTCTGTAGAGGCAGTCTGGGTGAAACTTAGGGGTTTTGACAGGGAAAGGAACCTGACAGTGGGGGTATGTTATCGCCCTCCAGGTCAACTTGAGACCCTGGATGACGTCCTGACAGGCCAGATTCTAAGAATATCTCGGGGGAGAGACACAGTAATTATGGGAGATTTCAATCTCCTGGATATTACTTGGGAGACTCACTCGACGGTGACAGCCAGGTCACGTCGCTTCCTAGAAGCTATAGAGGGAGGGTTTTTCACACAGAGGGTACGAGAGGCGACAAGGGGGGGAAACATCCTTGACTTGGTCTTGACCAATAGGGAGGAGCTGATAGATGAAGTACAGATTAGGGGAGCTCTGGATGCGAGTGATCACTCCATCCTTTGCTTTGAGATCAGGGGACTGGGGATGTGCAGCAGGTCGAGCACTAGAAGCTGGGACTTCAAGAGGGCCAACTTTGGCCAACTGAAGGCCAGACTAGGAAAGTCTCATGGGATAGGTTACTGGAAGGTAAGCGAGTTGAGGAGGGGAGGATGGCACTCAAAAGGGAGGTTTTGGAGGCGCAAGCCTTGACGATACCTCTAGTCAGTAAGGTGGGGAGGCGGAGAAGAGCACCGTCATGGATGTGAAAGGAGGTGGTTAGAGGGATTAGATGAAAGAGGAACCTCAACAGGAAATGGGTACTGGGGCAAATAGACAAAAGGGTATACTGGCAGGAGGAGGCCCATTGCAGAAGAATTCTTTGCAAGGCTAAGGCTGATTACGAGCTGAGACTTGCCAAGAATATCAAGAGCAACAAAAAGGGCTTCTTTCAGCATGTAAATAGGAAGAGGAAGGAGAGACAAGTGGTGGGACCACTAAATAAGGAGGAAGGAGATCCAGTGACTGATATGAGGGAACAGGCACAGATGCTAAATGACTATTTTGCCTCTGAGTTCTCCCCAAAGCAGGATGGGGGATATCCGCATAGGAGATGAGATGAGGCTGGAGACATAGGGGCACAGATTAGAGTCATCCCCCTTGAAGTCGAGGGGCTCCTCAGGGCATTGGACATTACAAAGGCGCCAGGCCCTTACGGGTTACACCCAAGAGTACTTAGAGAGTTGGCAGAGGTTCTCTGACGCCCTCTGGCCTCCATTTTTGAGGCCTCGTGGAGAATGGGTGAAGTTCCAGAGGACTGGAGGGTGGCATCAGTGGTCCCAATTTTCAAAAAGGGTAGTAGAGGGGACATGGGGAATTACAGACCAGTTAGTCCATTGTAGGAAAAACAATGGAAAGTCTCATAATAGAAAGAGAACTAGTAGTGCTAGACAGGGAAGGGAGGCTGACAGCCACACAACACGGCTTCCGCAAAAACAGGTTCTGCCAGACAAACCTTATGGAATTCTATGACAAGTTTTCGCGATGGCTAGATGGAGGGGATGCAGTGGATGTGGTATACC